GTAGTGGGTCCCCCAAATTTAAAAAAATGTTGTGTAAATTTACAAAACTCAAGTGTAGACCGAGACCAACATTTTTAAAGTTTGATCTTTGGATTATGGTAACTTGGCGATTTTTTGGCGACGAACTCTGCTACAGCAACCCTCTATTTTTTTTTCACCGCCATTTCGTCTTCACGAAGTAAAGACATGTTTCTTTTCTTTTTATTTACTCAACACATTTTCCAACAATCTACTAGCCGAATTACACTTATGCTAGAAATTTTACGTAACAAAACTGCTTAATCATGACAAATATTAACTGTAAAATTGGGAAAAAGTGCAGAATCGCAAACTCCTTGCACGTTTTTCAGAATAGCACGTACACATAAACTATTTACACGTCGACTTATTTTTACGTATAAAAACATCCCAGAATTGCACAAAAATGGCATTGCACACACTCTTAACTTTATCCATCTACACTGCTATTTTCTCATAAATTACGAAAATTTGCACGAAAATCCGGGAAAATTTTCTTAATCTTTAAACTCGGTAAAAGCACATATATGAAATTACCTGATCGCAAAAAAGTATATACCCTTTCCAAGGATGAACATTTCCACATATAAAATAAATAAAATATCCAAAAGCTTTTACCTCTAAATTATCTATTATATTATAAATGTCACCAACGAATTTATACGCAAACATTAAAAATAGTTACAAATACTTAGTGTCAAATATTTAAATTATTTCCATACACGTTTACTTCAACTGAAACGTATACCAAATTCCTAAAACATAAAATTCACAAAATAACTATCATTTAATTAAAATATCTCTAAACCATGTACACGTCGACTTATTTTTACTTAAAAAAACATCCAAAAATGGCATTGCACACACTCTTCATTATATCCATGTACACTGCTTTTTTGTCATAAATTAGATAACTTTCACGAAAATGCATGAAAATTTTGTGAATCTTTAAATCCTGTAAAAAGAACATATATGAAATTACCTGATCGCGAAAAAGTATGTACCCTTTCCAAGGATGAACATTTCCACGTATAAAATAAATAAAATATCCAAAAACTTTTACCTCTAAATTATCTATTATATTATAAACGTCAGCAACGAATTTCTACCGCAAACGTTAAAAATGGTTACAAATACTTAGTGTCAAATATTTAAATTATTTCCATGCCCGTTTACTTCAACTGAAACGTATACCAAATTGCTACAAACATAAAATTCACAAAATAACTATCATTTAATTAAAATATAACTAAACCATGTACACGTCGACTTAATTTTTACTTAAAAAAACATCCCAGAATTGCACAAAAATGACATTGCGCACACTCTTCACTATATCCATGTACACTGCTTTTTTCTCATAAATAAGAAAAATTTCACGAAAATGCATGAAAATACTCAACGTATACTACTCAAACGTATTCCAAAATACTACAAACATATAACTCACAAAATCACAATCATTAAATTAAAATATAATTAAATTAAAAAACACTTCGTTAAAATATAAATAAGCACATACATTAAATTAATAAAAATTAGATTACTATCCTAATTACTAATAACAATTTTCCAATAATACCATATTAATTTATTTACTCCTTACATTTACAACAATGCATAAAAATAATATCCTCAAATGATTAAAAATATTAACTTACCTAATCTTCTTCAGAATCTTCATTACGTGGCACGCACACTTCCCTACAGAAAGAGTTCCAATCGGCTGCAGTACTACTGCTAATTTCTAAATCCGAAATCCAGTAGTCAACTGGCAGTCTATTCACCAAGTAATAAGAAATTAATAAAATTTCACCCATAGTCAAACTACTTTCAGCAAACCACGTAGCTTTCCTTACACTCCGTTTCACAAAATGTCCATTTTCACCAGATTTCTTGCACCGCCATTCAAACTTATCCTTCCTTTCACACAATCTCAACTTATTATTATTATCAGATAAACGCATTAAAAATTTAGAATTCACTTTACATAGCGCCATGCAATCCGAAAATTAATCAACACTATTTCACACAACACTCAATGAAACTTAATACAAAATAATTTTTCCAAATTTTCCCCCTTTTCCGATTAAAGAACTGTAATTCGTCCATTAATGTCACATGACATATCTCATGATCTCTCATTTCCCTCACACAAAATAATGCGTAATCGGAATTGAGTACTTCTCATGTTATTACCAAAGTCCTAGGTAGTAACCTTTATCGCCTCCAAAATGTCGCCAAACTACCTGTTACCATATTCCAAAGATCAGCCTTTTAAAAATTTATATTATGAAATAATGGACACTATTTATTGTCAGTTAGATGTCTATTTTAAAAAAATTAAATTCGCTCAAATTTTTTGAACTATTGAATTTCAGTTTTTTAAAGAAATATCAAAGTAAATTTCCGGATGAATGCCTTAATTCATTAAAGAACGCTTATTCAAAACATTTTGATTTTGTAAAGCTAAGCAATGAATTATGCGTTCTTTATCGTAGTGAGTCATACCACGAAATGAATTTATTGAAACTTATTCAGCATATAATGCTGAATGATTTGACAGATGCCCTAAGCGAAGTAAATAAATTGGCACATTTAATTTGTACAATTCCATTTTCAACTGCTTCAGTGGAGAGATCATTTTCAGCATTGAAAAGAGTAAAAAATTATGCATGCAATACAATCAGGCAGGATAGATTAAGCAATTTATCTCTAATAACAATAGAAAAGAAATGTTACACTTATTACAGTCAAAACCAGAGTTTTATGATCATGTAATTGATGATTTTGTTAGTAATACACATAGACCTATGAATTTTGTGTACAAATGAATAATAAAAAGTTAAAGAAGTGTTTAATGTACATTTTTATGGTTTTATTATTATTATTGTTGTTCTCTGCACACCCTGCATAAAAAACCTACCACATGCCACTGTTGATTAGCTAATAAAAGCATAAATTCTTTTCTTTTCAGTTTTGTAGCATCAGGATATGACTGGAACAATATGTATGAACACAAATTCCAAGTACCGTAATTTCCGGAAGAAAGGCCACATTAGCGTAAACGCCGCAATAGATTAAATTGCGCGTGACATCGTCGTGGGCCGTATAGATGCAAAAACTCAACCTAAGTCCTGATATATGACATACCAGTTAAGAAAAATGCATGAAATGAAACCATAACTCAAAAATAAATTAAAGGTAAGAAATGTATAGCTTCTGTGCCATTTAGAGACATTTTCAAAAATTTTCCGCTCCCTAATTAAAAACTATCCAACAAGTACTTGTACCCTAACTGATGGGATCTGTATTTGGCAGAATGCCAAGAAAAATCCATTCATGCTGAAGGGGAAATACGTCAGAGTTCGTTATTGCGAGGCAGGTGGAGTCGTGCCCGCCTTTGAAAAAAATTGCAGAAAAGGCAGGGGTGGAAAGAGGATGGGTCCTGGAAGATTCATTGAATGGCAGAGGAGAGAGACTATTCAAACTGATGAGAATGTTGATTTGAAAGAGGGAAGAATGTTATTGTTCTGAGATCTCGTTTAGGATGAATAAGGCATGTAGGTCCGTTCAAGGGAAAGAACGTAAACAAAATAACGTTCGCAAAAAGCAACTGAGTGGTCTTTTGTGTGGGAACAGCACCAATCTATGCACAATGACAAGGCCATCCAAACTATGTACAATGACCATCATAGGAAATATTTTATTTTTAGTGCACCTAAACGCCGCACCCGCTGAAAATTTCAGTTTTAAACACATAAACGCCGCGGCGTTTCTTCCGGAAATTACGGTATCTTTGGGCTCTGCTGTAGAGCCTATTTTTGCAGCATGTTTCAGACCAAGGAGCTGAATTATTGTGTTATGCTTTGGTGTTTGTACCGCCCGATTTGGTTCCTTTCTGCACCATTTGAAATGCGTTTTTTCACTAAAAATTATCATTCTCCATTTTTTAGGGGTGGAAACGACAGCTAAAAAATCTTCAGCGGTCTCTCAGACCGCTCACAACAGTTAAAGGTTAAAAGCACGTAAAAATTGTTTAAAATTATCTGAACTAGAACCTGCACACTGCCCTCGCACACATAAATTTACAAAAGTAAATATTAAAAATACCCTCCATACTGCCAGTGACATTTCTTTAGAAAATTCCATTTTATTACATCCCACATACTTTCCATAGTGTTGATATGAGCTCCAGTTTCTGACTTCTTGATGGTCACTGCATAATTTACTGAGAGTTGAATGAAGCTATTTAAATCTTCATTTATATGCCAGTCAATCAATGTTTTCTTTCCCATGTATTTTAAAATGTACAGAAATTTCAGGTTAATTTTACAACCGGGAGCCATTTTCTGATGTACAGCACAAAATAATTAACATACTTCCTAACCAACATCCAATGCAGAAATAAGCCGAGAAATATTTTCCCAACAATCAAAATCACCGCAGTCCTGCATTACAACCAATCACGCCATAAGGTTTCCAAAACATTAGGGCTGTCTACATGGGCATTTTCATGTTTTTGCCTTTATATAATGTACATACAAGCTAGTTTTCCTTAGAAAATCCTTCAAATGTATGCCTCGAGTGCTTTGCTACATTATATAAACCAAACTAAAACTAGCACAATAATGAAGTTTTCCAACTATAAACTCATATACAAGTTAACAACATGACTGCACGAAAATTACTGAAAGTACTTTTTTTCACTTTTTGTACTGAAAGTAATATGTAATAACAACCTTAATTTTATTCCATAATTACATAATGCTTCTATTGCCAGTGCTGAAAACGAACCTTGAACACTTAATGATATCAAACTATAGTCATATATTTTGTAAAGAATTAATTAATATATGAGAATAAAAATAACCCATTCCAAAATGAATATGTAAATGGAAATATGAAAACAACAAAATAATTATGTAATAAACACAGGCACATCAGAAATGCTTACCAAAAGAACAAAATATCTTCCCTCACAGCAAATTAAACAACTTTTATTGAAATAACAATAAGAAAAATGCATTGAAAACTTACTTACAATGGACTTAATTGCATGAAAAGCATTATGTCCATTAACAGCATATTTTAACTTAATGGAAATAGCCTGACCTGAATTTAAAATAAGAAACAATAGTAGGACTTGGAAGTGCTCAAGTAATAACACTTCTTACCCTTTTATGATTAGTTTTCATCATGTCTAATATCATTAAACTTCTTATGAACTGTTATTAAATTCTTTCATTATTCAAAATCATAAATTATATGTAACTGCAATAATGCAATGTTATCTGTATTTTTCAGGAACCAGAAAACTATGATATATGGGAAATACTTATCCATAATTATAGTTTATACATCAAATTTCATCAAAGAAGTTTTAATTAAAGAGTGGTATTTACAATGTATACAAAACATAAGCACAAAAATTAGCTCAATTGTCTGATCTTTCATCAAAATTATTACTAAACAAATATACACATAAAATAATCATAATTAACAATGATAAATTAAGTAACAAATACAAAACATATGTAAACATATCAAACAAAAATGAATTGGACACTAATAAAACAAAATGAAAACCTTAATTGAGAAATGAATGTGTCAACCATTTAAATCAAAAATAAACGAAGATACATGTAAATGAAATTAAATTTATGTTTATCATCACTAATGTTTAATAATATATAATTGTTACCAAGCCAAAACTTGAATATGCATTTATGGCTGTTTGTACGTAAATATATTTTTCAGATTGTTTTTCGAGAACTTTACACTAGTCCAAAAAGACGGACTCAAAAAGATGAATATAAGAAAGTTTTGATGTCCAAAACACACTTCTTCCTCTCCCCCCCCCCCAAGTTAAAAAAAACTTTCCATATTTAAATATATTTTTCTTGAAGGAACAAATCTGCAGCTTAGTTGTTTGGATTTACAGATTAATTATCAATAATATGTACAGCAAGAAATCTGATAAATTAATTAATATTTCTAAGAAAGTTCTTCTTTTATATCAGACACTTCTACTGGCCATGGATCATGATCTATGATTTCTGCTGCAGAGTCATCAGGACAGGGAAGATCATTCGGCACTACGGCATTCGCATCCGACCATTCAACGAGCATATGTGTTTGAAAATGTTTTTCAAGATGACTTTTTTGTTTAAATGTTCGGTGACACATGCTACAGGAATACGGTCTCAGCCCAGAATGCACGAAATAATGTTGATCTAGAGCACCTTTAGTTTTGAACCGCTTGCAGCAAATGTCGCAGCCAAACCGTCTGTAGCCAGTATGGGTTAGGTAATGCTTGTGTAAGTTTGTTTTTAGAGTAAAAGCCTTGAAGCAAACACCACAAACATGCGGTCGCTCTCCTACGTGAATTAGATGATGCTTCTCCAAGTAGGCTTTGGAAGAAAAACCTTTATTACAAACATTACAAACAAAATACAATTTATCCGAAGAATGAATAAGGTAATGTTTATTCAGATTTGTCTTCAGAGTGAATGCTTTTTGACAAACAGTACACACATGAGGCTTTTCCCCTCGGTGAATAAGTTCATGTTTTTGGAGGTACTGCTTTGATGTGAAACCTTTACCACATTCCGTACAAAAGAATCTCTGTTTCAGCGGATCGTGGATACGATAATGTTTCTGTAGGTTATCTCGCAATGCAAAACTTTTATTGCACACAGTGCAAGCATGTGGTTTCTCTCCACCATGCAAAAGAATATGTTTCTGTAAATAAGCTTTCGAAGAAAAACTGCGATCACATATATCGCAGGAATATTTCTTATCTCCTTTGATTTCTACGGCGTTTTCTGCATCAATAGACAAATCATTGTTGTTCTCAACTGGTTCATCTCCTGATGCGTGGGTCTGAAGATGTTCCGCTAAGGTGACTTCTTGAAGAAAAGCTTTATTACATATGTTGCAAACGTGCGGAATGACCGTTAGACGTGTTGTTCCGTTCTGGATTTTCGTAGCATTTACAACATACATCGCAAAAAAGGGTAACAAATCACAAAATCAAGGAGCAATATTGATAATTACGTGAATAAATGTGCACAATAAGGTTTCTAATTCGAATAAAAAGTTTCTTTCATTCATCCCTAAACGCAATAAACACACAATTAGGAATTCGTTGTTAACAGGTTATCTTCACGAGAAAAAAGGGGGAAGAAATGGGAGGAGTTACGAGATTGTCTTGGGTTGCATGAAGATCTACTAATAACTTTCTCGCCAAGTAATTTGGCGTCATCGGCTCATTCTTAGTTCTGGAACTGTGGTTGACGAATGTCTGTTTTTCATCCGTAAGTATGCTAAAATTCTACCATAAATTTTTAATACCTTGTTTTCCAAATTTACACATTTTGCTTGATTAATATGAAGCTTGTTTGTTTTTAGATGTGCGCAATGCAATATTGGCAAATTTCAGGTTATTCGTCAAATAACCAAGGTTTTTTTATTTCTCTGGTAAGTGTTTGCTTTATATCTTACATTTATTATTAAAATATGAAAAGTAATTTTTGCATGCGTATATTTTTTCATGTTCATTTTCTGTTTTATGTGCTGGTAGATATCCTGGCCGATTACCGTGTTTTTAGATAAATGCGCCATTTTCATTTAGGTCGTGTAGAGATTACTGTTTCCATTTTTTTTTAAGTAACCACGAAAATTTCTTACACATGTAAAAGCTTTACTAGTAAACTTTTGATTGAGGATATTTCAAGTAAATGTGCCATTTTTACTGAATTTGTGTAGAAGTGCTCTTCGTTATGCCTTTTTTGAGCCAATATGTTAATTACTTGTATTATTTTAATGCCTTGTTTTGCAGTTTATTTGACAGATGTGTAATGCTGTTTGTTGAAAAATGCATTAGAACCAATGATGGGATCTTGGGCTAGCAAATTGGTAAAATATTACCTGCTCTTAATTACTGAATCATATTGTAGGATAAAATCTGCTGTTTATGTATGAAAATTTTTACTTTATCTCTGATTATGTGGTATATGCCCAGAATTTCATTATTAATGATCGATTCATTAAAATTACTATTTTTAATTGTCTACTATGTTTTGTGTTGCTACTGTTCATTCCGCATTTTTTTGAGTAGATATAAAAATTATTTCTTTATTTTTTTCTCCCCCCCTCCGTGTCTCTTTTTATTGTGCTGGTAAATTTCTGACTGAACTCATTTCAAGTTGAATGCGGTATTTTCATTTAGCTCATGTAGAGATTCATCAAGTTTTTTAAGAACCATGAAAATTTATTCTTTTGTGTATAAAGGCTTTGCTGGTAAATTTTTGAGAAAATTTCAAGTAAATGTGCCGTTTTTACTTATCCTGCGTAAAGATTGTTCTTCTTTATGCATCTTTTGAATAAATATGTCAATTCTTGTTTGTATTATTTAATATCTTGGGTAAAAGCGCAGAATAGGCTGCATCAACAAAGTTCAGTATGAGGAGCTGCGTGATGTCATTAAATGGGTGGGACTAAGCTTATGACGTCACAATGTAGTCTCGCATTTACACTACGTGTACTTTCTATTTTCTCTTAAAAATAACAATAATAAATTGTTTATTATTGTAAATTAATATCAAATTCTTTACTTTTAATTTACATTTATAACATTTAAGCTTAGGCGTTACTGATAATAAGTATAATAAATTGTTTATATTTAAAATTACCATGATACAGTGAGCGAATTCTAACCAATTATTAAAACGATAAACAACGTCGCAGTCTCTAATAGTTGTAGAGCTTCAATATTAAATTATTATTTTTTTTATAAAAATAAATGAACTATTTTGTTTAAATTTAAATTCATATTGTGGAACATTTCAATTTTATCATTTTTACAAATTACCTTCTTGCTACGTAACGACATAATTCCTTACATACCAATAATTAGACAATTTTCATTATTTCTAAAAATTTTAAACTTTACGTTAATAAAAAAAGAGATATTTTTTATTGCATATGAACATCATTACACAGCTTTCATATCAGTTTCTAAAATTCCTAAATCACGCTATATTCTGTGCAGGCATGCTAGAATTCTACGCATTAATAAATAAAAAAGTCTTAATTTCTCAGAATGAAAGAAAATAATATAATAAAATAAATACTACAAACTTGGAACACTAAGCAATGCTTCATATACGCACACACACACACACATATTATTTGCAATTACGATACCAAACACTACGTATTAAAATATGAGGTGAACATTACTTCAAGGGTTAAAGTTTACAGTTTTGCTACTGTTGAGTCGATCGTCGGACTATTGATATGTATCGTAAATCGGAAAGCGTTATAAACATATCAAAAAACAAAAAATTAAAAATACAATTTAAATGAAAAATTATGTCTTAAATATAATTCACAATTAAAACAACAATACAAATTTAAAATACACAAACGATATGTTAAACATTGCACATAATATAAGTTACATTACTCCTCGACATCACGCACAACCTCGTTTTCCCTTTTACACAACAATCAGTATTCGCTCGAAAAACATTAAAGAATTCCACAAACTCGGTGTTCATGTGCTCATTTATCTATTTTCACTTAAAGAAAAATCAGAGAATTGCTCAAACTCGGCATTGAACACCACATTGGCTTTGCCCATGTGCACATCGATCTATTTTCACTTAAAAAACATCCCAGAATTTCACAAACTCGGCATTGCACACCACATTGGCTTTTCCCATGTGCACATCGATCTATTTTCACTTAAAAAAAACATCCCAGAGTTGCACAAACTCGGCATTGCGCACCACATTGGCTTTTCCCATGTGCACATCGATCTATTTTCACTTAAAAAAACATCCCAGAGTTGCACAAACTCGGCATTGCGCACCACATTGGATTTGCCCATGTGCACATCGACCTATTTTCATTTAAAAAAAATCCCAGAATTGCACAAACTCGGCATCGTGCACCACATTGGCTTTGCCCATGTGCACATCGATCTATTTTCACTTAAAAAAAATCCCAGAATTGCACAAACTCGGCATTGCGCACCACATTGGCTTTTCCCATGTGCACATCGATCTATTTTCACTTAGAAAACCATCCCAGAGTTGCACAAACTCGTCATTGCGCACCACATTGAATTTGCCCATGTGCACATCGACCTGTTTTCACTTAAAAAAACATCCCAGAATTGCACAAACTCTGCATCGTGCACCACATTGGCTTTGCCCATGTGCACATCGATCTATTTTCACTTAAAAAACATCCCAGAATTTCACAAACTCGGCATTGTGCGCACCCCATTAGGCTTTGCCCATGTGCACATCGATCTAATTCCACTTAGAAAAAATCCCAGAATTGCACAAACTCGGCATATCGCACAACCTCGGCACTGCGCACCGTATTGGCTTTGCCATGTGCAACATCGATCTATTTTCACTTCAAGAAAAATCCCAGAATTGCACATACTCGGCATCGCGCACAGCCTCGGCACTGCGCACTACATCGGCTTTGCCCATGTGCACATCGATCTATTTTACTTAAAAAAATCAGACATCAAATAAATTCCATTGCTCATATACTCAGAAATTTGCTTCACTTAAAGAAATGAGAAGTTTGCAAAAATGTGTCCAGAAAAATGATACAAAAGAAAAATAAAGCTGCCAGAAATAAAGCAACTACCAAACATCCAAACTGCCATATTAAGAAAAGCACCCACTATTTTACTTAAGTTCAATAATAATAAATGAAACTTACCTTCAGTCCTTCTCCTTTTGCAGAATATGTGGCTGTGATCTCACTGAGATATATTACGCATCAGTTGGCTGGCGTCGGATTTCTTGTGTTTCCTTCTCCAAAATATATTCCGGAAGATAGGAATCAAACTGTCCTTTTGCCTTACTAGAGCCACGAAAACTTCTTTTCATTGCCGCCCAAGTTCCTTCAATACTGGTGGTAATGCGCACCTGTTTCTGGATCTTTAAAACTCAAGCTATGATTGACTTTCAGGTGCGCATACCCTTCGATCTATTTTCACTTAAAAAACATCCCCAGAGTTGCACAAACTCTGCATGCGCACACATTGGCTTTGCCCATGTGCACATCAACCTATTTCACTTAAAAATCATCCCAGAATTGCAACAAACTCGGCATTGCGCACCACATCGCTTTGCCCATGTGCACATCAACCTATTTTCACTTAAAAATCATCCCAGAATTGCACAAACTCGGCATTGCGCACCACATTGGCTTTGCCCATGTGCACATCAACCTATTTTCACTTAAAAAACATCCCAGAATTGCACAAACTCGGCATTGCGCACCACATTGGCTTGTCCATGTGAACATCGATCTATTTTACTTAAAAAAATCAGAGAATTGCAGATAACTCCATTGCCTCAAGTACAAACTTGCTTCATTTAAAAGATTCAGAGAAGTTTGCAAAAAAATGTGTCCAGAAAAATGAATACAAAACAAAAATAAAGCTGCCAGAATAAAGCAACTATCGAACATCCAAACTGCCATGTTTTGAAAAGCGCCCAATATTTTACTTAAGTCAATAAATAATAAATGAAACTTACCTTCAGTCCTCTCCTATTGCAGAATATATGGCTGTGATTTCACTTGAGAAATATGTGCATAAATTGGCTGGCGTCGGATTTCTTGTGCTTTCCTTCTCCAAATGTATTCTGCAAGATAGGAAATCAAACTGTCCTTTTGCCTTACGAGAACCACGGAAAACTTCTTTTGATTGCTGCCCAAGTTCCCTCAGTACTGTGCACCTGTCAATACTGGATCTTTAAAACTGCAAGCTATGATTTACTTTCAGGTGCGCATATCCCATCGAACTCGAGACAATCGTACGCTTTCCAGCAATCCGATATAACAGTTGATCCTGGTAGAATATTCTCTTTAACAGTTCTGCAACAATGTTTCGGCACCTCTGTTTTCAACAATCTATAAGACATGCATTTATCCGTCCTCTCAACCAAACCAAAAACCCATTTTCCTTCGACTCTTTTCCTCTATGATACTTTTGCTTGCCGAAACTTGCTTTCGTCGATTTCGACAGTCACGACACCTTCCCCACCCAACTTAACATTCTCCTTCAAACATTAACTCCATGCATACTTCTCTACAAAAACTTTTCCAATCTTGTCACCGTATTTTTAGCAATACGTAATTCCGTTC